CTATGGCTCTGAATGATCATGCACCTTGGCTACTTGCCCAATAAAATAACCTTTTGGCTGACTGGTCAGCATGCATGACTTTCAGCCAGGAGTTTGGGTATTAAATCCTACCCGTGCCCTCTGTTGTACCATGTCAGATATTATATATTAAAATGGCCTAGTGAAAGTCCATACCTCAATGCAATTAAGAATCCGTGGCTTGGTAATTGATGTTGATTGTCACACTGAACAAAGTCTTAATGAGGGCAGAATTTGGTAGAGACAAATTTCCCAGTTCCTGTAGCTGTAACTGATTTTACAAAGTATTAAGGAAATACACACCTCACTTTGTGAATATTATTTATAAAATAAAAAAAATGGACCACAGTGTATCGGCTATAAGACAACATTAAAAGCTAAACTTTGTAGTCATATTTTGACAAAATGTGTATCAGGTTAAATATCACAAATCTATCAATATGCAGTGTATAGTAAGCATTTGACATTGATTTATTTAAGAAACCTTTGAAGAAACTTTTAAACTTTTAGATTGTGAAAACTGCCAGTATAAGAAAATAGAAATATTTCTCATTTATAATTAAAGAGAGGTTCTCATATGGTTAAAAAAAAGGAAAGTCGTAACCTGTGATAAAAGCTTAGAATAATGTTTAATGATCTGTTTCGTTTTAGTGTGGAGCAATGTGGGGAATCCAGGATCCAACCTGGTCCCAGGAAATGTAAGTTACAAACACATCAAACGTTTTACTGTAATTCCTACGAGTAATTCTTTCTTCTTTATCTATTCGTTAGACCTGAAGACACTGATGCTGGACCCAGACACGGCACACAGGGATATTTCTCTTTCCAAGGGAAACCAAAAAGCAACACGTAGGATCAAGCAGTCGTATCCCGATCACCCAGACAGGTTTGATTTCAGGGCTCAGGTGTTATGCAAGGAGGGACTGACTGGGCGCTGCTACTGGGAGGTAGAGTGGGTCGGGAGGGTCTGCATCGCTGTGGCCTACAGACGGATATCCAGGAAAGGGGAGAGTCCAGACTGCTGGGTAGGCCACAACCACGTCTCCTGGGGCTTGAACTGCCATAAAGACGGCTACAGGATTCTGCATGGGAACATGAATGATGTGGTGCCTGTGACAGTCAACTCTAATAAAGTAGGAGTTTACCTGGATTGGACGGCAGGGGCACTTTCATTTTTTAGAATCTCCTGTGGTGACCTAACTCTCCTCCATACCTTCTACACCACCTTCACTGAACCCGTCTATCCGGGGTTCCACCTTGGCTGGGTGGACTCTACTGTCCTGTTACGCTAAACCAGGATCTTTCCTGAGAAATCTCCCGTTCTGGGAAAACCAGGCTCTGCAGCTCCTACCTGAACCAAGTGCGCTGACTGTTTTAAGCTGTAGAGCAGGCATCCCCAACCTCGGTCCATGAGGCCCGCTGTCCTGCAGGTTTCAGAGGTTTCCTTGCTCTAGCACAGCTGATTTAAATTGAAAGCTGATTAACAGGCTTTTGGTATACTGCAATCATTATAATCAGCTGTGCTAAAGCAGGGAAACCTCTAAAACCTGCAGGACAGTGGGCCTCGAGGACCGAGGTTGAGGATGCCTGCTGTAGAGTTCAGCATAAATGTATTTGTTTTATTAAAACTAACCCTAAAAGGGAGAATTTCTCTGTTTTCTAGGGTTTGATGCAACATCTTGAATGTTTTAAAGAATGCTTGTAAATGAAATGAGGCTTCTGTTTGATGGAATTACACAGTAAATGTTTTATATTAGTTTTATTTCTCATTAAATCATTTGTATAAATGAGAGAAGTTGCATGTATGAAGGAAATGAGACCTCATGTTTTTCTTTAATCGGACACTTCCATTGTAGTTGATCTCATAACCTATAAATTCAGTGGTGGACACTTGATTAATGTACTTAAATAAATTTTAAGTATCATATATTGTACCTTTCTACTCCACAACATTTCCAGGTACTCGTTCCTTTCTGCTTAGCTTTGAAATCCGCTGTTGCTGTTTTTGTTTAAATGCAAATGGCCACGCTACGTTCCTCCCAAAGTTCAAAGTTCATCGTTAAGAAAAGGTATTCTGGATGTTTTATAGTTTTTTTTTTTTTTTTTTTTTGTTTATTTGACAGGGACAGTACAATTAAACATTGCAACCAAACAGGTGGCCGATGTCCAAGTACATAAGGCTTGTAGCCATGGGCTAATTTGCAGCCTTCGTCCCTGGTTAGGCTTATCTCTTTTTTTAGGCCCAGCTGGGTTAAATGGTCGCTCATTAGCAGACATATGCAGAACTTTGACATTCTGAGGTGGTCGCTCCCTCCGGGGAGAAGAACTAGAAGATATCAGCCCTCAGGACTGAATTTGGACAACACTGCTTTAGAGATTTGCATGATCTTCCACACATGTGAGAAACTCAGGGCAGATATTTGTAAGTTACACATTTTATTAAGGTTGAGTTGTTGTCATGTTGCTCGTTTGGATGAGTTCTCATGAGTTGCAGTTTCTTTGTGGGAATAGATTCCACCATAAACCTTTATTCCATGGTGAAAGTGTGAGGAGAATTAAGACTCCCCAGTTTGCTTTTTTGTTTGTTTTTAAATAAAATCAAAAAATCAAAATGGTTGTTTCTTGCTGGTTCTTCAAAAATAGTGTAGAATTTAAAGCAGAGGCTCTCCGTGTCGATACATCAGGTGATTTCTGAGAGTTACAAGGTTCTTTAAAACGACTCTGGAAGTTAGACAGCAAAGTACTAACATTGAAAAACTACATTTCTAGTTTTGAATACTTCAGTACTTTTAAATGCGTGTACTTTTGAATACTTAGTATTTTCAAAAGTGAGTACTTCAAGTCTTTAATAAGCAGCTTTTACTTGTAGTACTATAGTACTTTGTCAACCACTGTATAAACTGCATATGAGTTTTTATGCCTTATCTTTAGGTGTGTTGAACCAGGTAGGGAACTGCAGCGCCCAACATAGCTAAATGCTGTTATGTGATTGGCTAAATAAACAATCATGTTATGGTATAATTTTTCAGATTTAGGAGGAGCAGTTAAAGTTTTTAAGATGGATAATTTGAAATGCCTAATGTTAGCCTGCTTGATCCATCTGCAGACCAGGTGGGATCCTTCTCCTGTTTCAGTTAGATCAGGGAAACTAGCGTTTAGCATCCCCTCATTATTCCATTAGCCTGAAATGTAAGTGTAGAACGGGATCTACACCAAACCCTCAGCATGACACCACCACCACCAAGCTTAGAGTTAAAAACCTCAGTTCAACCAAACATTCTTCCAGCTACTTATAAAGGCTTCTGATGGAACACAATAATTACAATTACAAGCTTTGAAAACAAGGATCAACGTCATCAAGTCGATCATAAAGTTTAATATTGGAGAACCATTCCCCAGTGCAAAACCAATCATAATTTAAAGCCTCTAAATGTGACCCTTTGACCCGAATTGTAAATTTTATTTGAAAACTACGTCTAAAAAAAGAAACAAGCCTTAAAGTAGCAGTTTATCAACAAAGGTCCAAAATATGAAATAAAATTGTTTTTTGCAAATTATAAATGTTTTACTACATTTTCGATTTTAGCTTAGATGCAAATAAAAGGGATCAGAATGTCTGATTTCACTTTTAACAATCATTTTATTAGCAGTCCCATGAGGCAATGGAAAAAGAAAAAAAATAAGAGGAAGGAAATTAAGTTTACAGTAAAGATGGCGGATCAATCCAAATCGGTGAATATAAAGTCAGGACAGAGGGCTGGACACACACATACAGACACACCCAACACAAAGATCAGATGGTTAGAACAGAACAGAAAGTGATAAATGATCCTAAAGGTTGCGTGTGTTGGCTGATCCCTCTGTTCTCCCTGTGAGAAAATCACCAGGACTGACGCCGCATTCGTTCTCTCTCACACACAGAAACATATCAAAAAGCCCATCTTAAAAAATCAATGACTTTAAATGTCAGATAATCATGACAGGTCTTTAAAATTTTTATTTTCTATTTATTCTGTACACGTATACTTTTATTTACACACTGAAAAGCTTGTGGGTAGCTCAGTGTGAATAGAAGTGAAATGTCACTCATCTGTCACTCTTTGCTTCTTTCTTTCACACAAGTTCGGACATTCGACGCCTCGGATTCGAAGATTATAAAGTCTGCCTCTTGCACACCGGTACCCCTAAACATTCCTTCACATTTGAATTAAAATGCCTCTAAAGCGTCGGAAATTAATCTTCCTTTTTATGCCTTTTTTTATATTTCTTGATATTGCACGGATGAAAACAAGCAAGTTTGGTTTCAAACACACTCTAAAGCCAGATGTTGCCACAATATAACATTATTTTTGTTTGATCTTATGTCTTTATTGAATCTTAAATCATTTTTGATTCAGGTTATATTCAGATGATTGCACCTGATGCAGTGCGATAAAGAAAAAAAAACTGGGTCAAATTGCGGCTTATCCTTTCCCCTCTCAAAATAAACTCACCAACCCAAACACACACAGACATTAAGGATGGGAGCAGAGGGGACTAAGGCCATGATTAAAGTGGATAACAGACATTTAGAACAGCATTCAGTTTTATTTCCATACAGATGTCTGTGACTCTATTGAAACTCAATCATATATAAAAAGTGTTTGCTATCCGAGTCGTTTAAGCCAACCCCACCCAGAAAAGGAAAGCCTTTCAGTGCTATTAATACAGACAGTACTACAGTTATCGAGCCTTCTTTTTCATTATCAGGTTGCTGCATACGTAGTATGCTCTCTTGTGTATATACATGATCCTTTCCCGTCAGTTATTATACCTTTGCTGTGCAGGAGCAGCAGATCCGAGGCAGGGTAAAGCTTTTCCCTGGAGCACTCGCACACAAATAATCATACAGGATGCGATCTGAAAGCTGGAGCTCCGCTGACAGACCGCAAGGAGAGTTAATTTCTGTATGGTAAAAAAAAAAAAAGAAAAAATCCAAACAAAAGAAAATCTCAGGGTGAACGGAGACCCGGGTTTCTGGTGGAGGAGTTTCTGGGTGAAAGGTGGGAATCTCCAGTCCTTTAGCTGAGAAGCTGGCGGATCTCCTTGTGCATGTGACACAGGAAGTCTACGTATGACGCTCCGCCGCTGGCGCTCTTGTCCTCCACTAAGAAGTGCTTGAAGATCAGCTCAGCTCGGTCTTCCTGTTTCACCACCATCAGCTGAGGAAGCAAAGAGGGCAGCGTGAGCACGGCTGAGATGCAGTAAAACTCGAACCATCTTCAAACCAGACTTTCTGAACAGAAAAAAAGATTTTTCTTCCAAAAAGTAAGAATTCTACCAGAAGTTATAGAAAACAGGCTGTTATTATTGCATTCATTGAACTATATTGTACCCCACATGTTTAATAAGGCATATTCTATGGTGCTTGTAAACAGTCGATAGTTTCATCTTTCTAAGTGCTTTTTTTTTTTTTGCAAGGCAGCCATATTGGATTCCAGAATAAGCTGCTTGGCGACCCTCTAGCCTTCCTGAACCAGAATGAGTGCTGTTATGTTTATTTTTCTTTAGACGTTCACCAAGCAGGTAATGTTTTCAGGACAATTGGTTTGTTTGTTGGTCTGTTCAAGGTGCCGTAGGAGATCTTGGAAAAACAGTTAGAGCAAGCTATATTTTTGAATATACACAACCATGCCTCTCCCTTCAGACCACCCCTCGAAACCCCGCCTTTAAAACATACGAACCCGCATGCTATCTGTCGAGGTGAGAACTAAACAAGCCGAGACAGAGTGCCTGTGACATGAGCTAACAACAACATAACAGTGGCTAGCTTCCAGGCATGGCGTCCTCTTCTCTGTCTAGCATAAGATTGTTCAACATCTCAATGAACATAATATCCCATTGTTCATGTGTCAGGGTACGTGCACAGGGGAAAAGGAGAAGCAGACGATGATGATTGACATGTCAGGATCCAATACTGGACCCCGGACCGTGTTAAGAGATTGGTGGGCGTTACTCATTGATTTCAAACTGTAGCGGGGACCTTTTTTTATTCCCGTTTCACTTCCAGACCTTCCATTTCACTGCTTGCTACGTGGCTGTGGGGAGATCTTCAAACCACATGGTAAAAAATGAGTCAGAAAAGATCTTCTACTGAATCTTTAATAGATTCTAGAAAATTTGGACAGATTTCTCTGAAATGTCTACCCCGTCTCTTTGCCCAACTCCAATTTTGGTGGTGATCCGGATCACTATTCAGATTTAGGGACATTTTGAACCAGTCCTCAATATTGTGACATCGGGATATAAGCCGATTGGTGAAGACCTACAGCCTAAAAGTGCTTTTGGACGACTGCAGCCTCGCAATTTGCTGCGCCTGCTCTTCCAACGAGCAGCCTCTGTACCGCCATTTTGACAGTCAAGTCTAAAAACAAGGAGCACCGAAGCAAGTTTAGCAAAATAAGGTGAAATGAGGCGATCTACAGGAAAAACCTAATTTTAAAAACGCCGCAGCTGCAAGAGCTTTATTCTTTTTTTTCCCTCAATCTCTATGGCTGTCAGTCGAATCTGATCCATTGGGTCAAAACATAAAGAAATCAGACGGGCAGAACCTGATCATTAAAGCTCTACGGTTCAGTTTTCCCCAAGTAGAAAATTGTTGTCTTTATAATTTAGTGATTTAGAATAAAAAGTGTTTAATTTTACCCAAAGTGATTATTATTGTTGGACTTTCCTGGTGTTTTCAGTTCGATTTTTCGCGCTCATCTAGTCTAGTCCAGAACCAACATAAGAAATAAGAAAGTAAAGGAAGTTCTGGGCATCTGAGAGTCGCAGAAAGACAAACAAGAGGCTTGCCTTCATGTATCGTGATCGCTGCGCTCTGAAGGAGTCAATGATCTCTCTGAGTCTTTGTGAGAACGGGTTGTCCAGGACAGGCAGACTCGTCTGGAACAGAAAAAAATGACAATTTACAACGCTGCCTTTAAAAAAAAAAAAACCCAAATACGGGGGGGGGGGGGGAAACTAAGGAGAATAAAAAATAAACTTTAATATGCAGGCAAATCATGGAAAATCATCAATCAATAAAAAATTCTGTTATGATATATTAAAAAAGTAAAATATTAGGGTAGTAATACTTCAGTGTTAACAAGGAACTAATGACCAAAAAATTTTGGGAAAAAAAAAAATATATATATATATAAAAAAAAAAAAGATACTGCATTGAAGAGTTTGGCTAAATTAAGTTTATCCTATTTATAAAAAATACTTTCCTATTTTTAATGCACTAAATTACAGCTTTTGATTCAGATTAAACACTCTTCTGATAACGCATAAATAACTCCCAGCAATTCTAGGTAGATTTTAGCTCACTGGGAGCTACAAACAGTAAACGCTGCCGGCCGGTCCGTTTCTTCTCACCAAGTTGGGATCGATCTGGCTGAAGCTGGGTGTGCCAAAGATGTTGAGGAGCAGCTCTTGCTGAACGCTTGCTCCGACCCACAGGAAGAGGTGGAGCCCCGTCTCCAGCAGGTAAACCCCTCCTTTGGAAAGCCGTTCCTCAGAGTCCCTCACTGCTACGGGCAACGACCCGCTTTCCAGCTTCATCTGGGAGAGAAGATGGAGTTTAATTGAGGAGCCTCGTGTCGCATCATATCTTGGACCCTTTAGTTTGAAAGATCACTGTTAGAAAACTTGGTTATTTTCTGCACCCAGATAGCTTCATTCTACTGCCTGTGTCTAAGGTTTGCACTAAAAATAGAAAACAATATTTACAGTTTGTTGCTTTTGTAGATCGGAATCAACTGCAGGATGAAAATTTCTTTTAATGTATTTCATGCCACTGTTAATCGTTTCTACATGAGGGATTGTTTTTGCAAAATGTTTGATTAACATCAAGGGGTATTTTAGTTCTATTTTATATACACAACTATTTGGTTTTCTTTAAATATCTATAGTGTATATTAGGGGTGGAACGGTTCACAAAATCCATGGTTCGATTCGATTCACGGTTTCTGGTCACGGTTTTCGGTTCGGTTCGATACATGTTGATTGTTACACCGAAATCCCATAAAAATTTATGAAATTAATGAAAAAATCCCCCAAAAAATAATGGATTGTAATTACTTTAAATGATCCGCGGAAACCCTGGATCATTTCCGTATGTTTTGCTGCTTTGAATTTAATCATCTCGCGCATGCTCTCTACCATCTCCAAGGGACTCAGAGGGGAGCAGACGAAGCCACAGTGGGGGATGTAGGCTTTGCTTTGTGAAGGCGGTCTGGAGCGCAGCGGGGCGGAGCGGGGGTTGCTGACGGAGTATGAGGGATTTCGGGGTTAGCATGACATGTTGGTCATGTTGCTGTTAGCATAAACAAAACGTGTTGCACAATGCTTGCACACTGTTGCACTATTATCCACAACTTTCTTTCCGCCGTCATTGTAGGTCACTCTAAACGCAAAGTGGTCCCATACAGCAGACCTATAAAGTGCTGCTGGCGCGTCTTCCAACTCCAGTTCTTTCCCACTCGCCATTACGACACAATTCTCCATAACAACAGATTTTTTTCCCCTGCTACACCCGGCTAAGCTGCTTCGCTTCTTCTTCTTCTTGTTTACTACTGGTGGTTGGCTTTGGTCGCAGTACCGCCACCTTCTGCTCGGGAGTGTAATCGCTTCCTCTATGAGAAAAAGGAGCAGCGCATGAACCGAACGAAACACACGCGAACCGAACCGAGACAGTCGAACCGAACGGTTCGGACGGTTTTCATAAATCGTCCCATCCCTAGTGTATATTCATTGGTTTTAATATTTGTAGCTTTGATTTGTAATTGTTGATATTTTGTTATTAGGTTTACCCAGGTCTCTCTAGTAAAGGAGATTTGTAATCTGAACGAGACAAACCTGCTTAGATAAAAAGTCACATACAGACAATTTCTCTTGGGTTTTTCAACGGAAACACCCTCAACACCAAAAGGGGAGGGTATCTTTGTGTGAGTGGGTAGCCGATCTTACCACTGGCAGCAGGCGGGGGTAGAAGAAGACATGAGTCTCCGTGACATCCATGCAGCTGATCAGCTGCTTGAGGTAAGCCCTGTCGTCCAGCGAGACGTCGGCTCCTGGCATCAGGACGTCACTCTTCAGGACACAGTTCAGATAAACGGGGAGAAGCTTCATGCACTCCGGCAGGATTAGCTGGAAACAACACAAACCTCTTTAGGAAACACTGAGCAGCAACCCTTGATGTATAAACAGCATCACAACAGAGTTGGTTCAGGAGGTTTAGTGGGGTTTATGTTAGTTAAAGAAAACTGGGGTTTGTTTTTGTACCTGACCAGCAGATGATGGACTCGCACAGTTCTTTCTATAGCAAGCAAGAATCTGAGCACACTGATTGACCAGGGTATCCCTCACAGCCTTGGTGGGGTTGTTAGCAACACCCCTGAAAGCTGCAGGACACACAAACACACCAGCTGATTAAGGCTGCAAGGAAATTCCTGGAAAGTCTAATTTTAAAATCCTCTAAGCAGTAACATTGCTGCATCATCAGGTAAACTCACCATATTTGGCAAAGTAGTTGATGATTGTGTCCGTCTCACAGTTGCGGTAAAGATCGGCGAGCTGTGAACAGCAGTTCACGGCCATGTTATGGATGCGCAGACGCCTCCGACCGCTGCAGCTGGTGTACAGCACGGCACACTGCAAGAAGACGGACAAAGCGTGTCTGTTAACAGTCCCTGGCTAAACCTGAAGCCCAGCTGGATGCTCTTCTGACCACCCGTTTATTTCAGTAATTCAACCAAAAAAGCCGAAAACAGTGATCAATTTGAAGCATTTCTCTGTTCATTGTCATGCTTATTTCTGATGACTAAAGAGCAAAAAGAACAGATTATCTTAAGCAGAAATGTCTTAATTCTTTTAGCGGCAGGTTTTTTCTCTTGAATGAATGACCATATTAATGGCAAGTTGAGTGGAAGGAAAGTGTGCACCAGTAACAGGAAGTGCCTCAACATGCAGACATATCCAGGATAGGGGCTGCCACACCACATCTGTTCAAACTGATATAGAACTGCAGGCCAAAAGCTTTTAGAAAAAACGGAATTTGCTGCGAGCCCCAATCATTCCAATCAACAGAAATACACCCTTGGAATATACCAGTTTGTGTTTAATTAAGGAAATAAATTAATTTTTTAACAGATTGACAGCTCAGCCTATCCACACACCTGCATTAGGGCTCCCGTCTCCTCGCTGAGCTTGTCGTCGTGTTTGAACTCCACGGTAATGGCCTTGTCGCAGTCCAGGCCTGCCAGCTCCACGTCCGTGGTGTTGTTCATGTAAAACGATCCAAAGAAGTCTGTCGCTCGGATCCCTGTGGGACAACGGCAACCAATGAAATCAAAACGGTGCCTTTTCTCCCACTGTGTGGCTTTTTGCAGTGCTTTTAAATTTGATTTGAATTGGGCAGACGCCGTACCTGTGCTTGTCCGCACCCTCATAACGGCATCGAATCCGACTTGCTTCTGAACGTCCCGCCTCAGGTCGTTCAGGAATCGCTCCTGATCTGCCTGAGCCTGTGATGATGAAGACATCTATTATGTTAAATTCTCAAAGAGGGGTTAATGTAAATATATACATTTAAAAAAGAAATCCTTAACCTCACCATTTGAATATGAATGAGATTAAAAATAAGAGGATTTTCTCACCTGAAAGTAGGTATACTTGTAGATTGAACCTCCAGTGGAGACAGGGACCACCCCTAGTGTGGCCAGATCGACGTACTGATTAGGGAAGAGAAAAAGATCCACACAGCAGCCCTGGGCTACACAGTCCTTCGCCAGGTCTTTGTAAAATCCAACCTGCGGCTGAAACAGAGTCTGTGGACAAGAGGAGAGAGAAAGAAAGTCAGCGTGAAACACAAACTTTCAAGATTCCAGCCCAAACTTCCTCCTAGCTTTACCTTCTCCTTGTCTGTCCCGATTAGCTTCTTATCTTCTCGGTTTTTCAGCTTTCCAGGAGCCTCTGCGATGGGCAGAGAGGTGTGAAACACAAACAGCTTCCCGGCACAGTCGGCAGCCTGAGAACATGACAGCAGATCATCAGGTACGAAATGCAGCTGCAAATCTTTACACATCGGTAGGCGTTCTTTTATCTGGAGAAACATGCTTACTTGACGTTTGTCAAGCACAGTAAGGAGCAAAACACAATGGATTACTACTATAGAAAACAGCAGCTGAGAGTACTGAAACCTAGCATGCTGAAGGAAAGTTGAGTGGAGGGAAAAAGCATTACAATCCCACTGATAATAAAGCAGAAAATGAGACACTAGACTTGAGAGAGCAGATGCTCTGAGGCTATGAAAGCAACCTGAAGTTGCAAAACTCTTTAGTTTAGCAGATAATCCTGTAAATTTGGACTTAAACTCCTTTTTTATTTCAAATTTTTTCTTTCTTTATCTACTTGTAATTGAAATGTTTGTTCTATTTTGTATGTACTGTATATTTTTATTGATTTATTCATTAAAGCAGGCTCTTGGCCAGCTCATGTTTGTAAATGACAAGTGGATCTCAAACTGTTATAATTAAGGTTAAACTAAACATTTTAAAAACCCTCAGTGGGAGTGTTGGCCTGGTGGTTTGAGCAGTGTGCTTGTGCTCTGAGAAGGTTGCAAGTACCCGGTTTGATCCCAAAAGCCTTCACTCTGGGTTCCTGAGCAGAAACCTTTAACCCCACTCTGCTCCCTGGGCACCACACGATGGCAGCCCACTGCTCACCAGGGGGATGGATTGAATGCAGATAGGTAATGTCCCCATTGTGGGACAATAAAGAGATTTACATTTTTTTTTAGACACCGGCAGCAGTTGATGCTAAAGGTCTGGCCAAGTTTTTCTTGATTAAAAATCCTTCACGTTCCTAAACAATATGAGAAATTGGACCAAGATGCCTGTTTTAAATATATCATTATGTGCCTGAACTAAATAACAGAAATAAATGAGGTGCTCAGTGAAATTCTAATTTAGTGAGATGCACCGTTAGATGGACTCTGTTATTAATCTGCTAAAGCAGTTTAAGGTAGGACAGGAACAAACTGAGAAGGTCAGAAGTTGGGATCTTTTTTTTTTTTTGCAAGTCCTGTTATCATTATCTGATTATGAGCTAATTAATTCTTTGCCAATATCCTGCAGCCCTGATAACGGCCAATAGAGCATGTTTACCTTAAGGGCTTCCAGTCCTGCCTGGATGACGGGTCCAAAGACCGTTTCCGTCTCCCTCGTGTCTGCAAACATCTCTGGGATCTGATCCAGCAAGCTGGAAAAACAATCAGCATATCATTAAGTCTGATAAAACACGTGTCTCACTAGACGTACTGATGGTTAGGTGAACGCCATCTTCTGCGTCATGGTTACCCACCTCTCTATGACCTGCCGGCTTTCGTTCACGTTTACCAGGAACCCATCGAGCAGCGGCACAAACATGTCCGACACGTCCGACACAACCAGCATCTGGGGCTGGGCCAGGGTGGGCTTCACGTTGTAGAAGTGCAGCACCTTGTTGTAGGTGACGAAACCCACCCGCACCACAGAATCTGTTTCTGGGTTTTCCCTGAGGGGAGAGACGGGAAGCCTCTAAAATATCCTTCAATATAATAATCCTTCTTTGGTTCTGTCGGATCAATTAATTGACCAAACTTGAGATGTTAGCTTTGGATACCTGGGCAGGAGATCAAGGAGAGTCTTGAGTTCATTGCAGATCAAGCTGACCAGGCCGCTCTTAACCGCGTTGTAGGAAACATCTATGAGGAAGATGAAGGCTGGAGGCTGAGGAAGCTTGTTGTTCTGTTGAAGACATTCATAGACTCAACTGAACTGAATCAGGACAGAATTTTAAAGGTCTTTGAAGAGTTATCTTAATTTTACAAAGAAAAAAAAAACCTGGTGGTGGATAATTTGTAAAGACAATAGAAATGGATATGATTTTGAAGAAACCTGATAAGTATGGTGTGAATTTTTCATGTGTGCCACGCAGACAGTATTACTGCAACCAGAGGGCCAATCCTACACAGCTGTTTCTAAACACTTAACCCATTTAGGCCGGGAAAGCATTACCGCATTTCTACCATTCAAACCGGGGGCGCTGTTGCGTAATTCTACCATTGACGCCGGGAGAGCATATAAGTCAAGCAAGAAGAAAGAAGTTTTTTTCAAGCAAACATGGAGGAGTTTGACAGAGAAGAGTTGTCGGAAGGCAGTGATTTTGAGGAGTGTGTCGGCTTTGATGACGGTATAGATGAAAATGATAACTTTGAACGCCCTGAACCAATCGAACTACCACCGCAATGCACGGAGTGTTTTCAACCGCACACCTGGAGTGAAAGTTGATTTGCCTGCAGACGCCACACCGCTGCAGGCATTTGAGCATATTTTTAATGAAGAACTTTGGATGCATCTTGTTACCGAGACGAATAGGTACAGTGACCAAACAAACCAAACTCCAACAAGAGCAAAGATGGCAAAGTGGTCACCCGTGACTGTGACGGAGATGAAGACATTTATTGGGCTGTGTATGGGCATGGGACTTCTTGTGTTGCCAGTACGAAGAGATTATTGGCGACAGAGTAAACCTCTCTTCAGGACGCAGTTCCCCCAAAATATGTCCCGGGACAGATTTGTGGCCATCTGGAGGTAAGTTGTATGCAATTTATAACACAGACATATGCATTATTATGCATAATAATACTGTTAATAAGTAATCATCAGATAGTTATTTATGTAATGTTTGTTCTTTATTTTAAAAACGTTTTATATTGCACATTCTCAATGAAGACATGATCACATATGGAAAAAATAAAAGGTTGAATTTTATTTTTTTTTTTTTTGATTACTGCTTTTCACTTTTTTTTTTTTGGAAGAATTTCAAAGATAAAATATATTTTGAGTTCTATCTGCTACAGAAGCTGAGATATCAATAATTTACTAGGCGTTGACACAGTTGCTGAATTTACAGAAAAACTTCAGGTTTTAGGGGTATTTTTTAAAATCGGCCATAGGTTTTTAAGGTGTTTTTTCCAGGCGTTTTAGGCCTAAATGGGTTAAAGGGGCATTTTGTAACAATTTCTCCTTTTTGCTGCCTGAAATTGATTGCTGCATTTACAAATATACTATATATATATATATATATATATATATATATATATATATATATATATATATATATATATATATATATATATATATATATATATATATCTCATGTTTGTGTAAATTCTTGTTAATTTGGAGCAAAACAATTTTTTTCCCAATTTTCAAAGACTGGTGATGTAGGGATAGGAAAATCTATCATCTCCTGTCAGGTGGGACCAACTTTCACACAGACAGTAAAGGAACACAGTCGTGTGTGCGAGAAATGGGAGTACATCATGCTTCCTCCAAAAAAATCTTGTAGAGATGAAAAATTGGGGATGGTTGCGAAAATAGATTTCTATTCTATGCATTTATGTTTCTATTAAAGTGCAGGTATGGTGTTTGCCATACAATATTCAACCATCATTTACTGAGCTGGTTGAAAATACGCCAATATAGGTTCATACCTTACAATAGTCCACAGTTGCCAGGAACTCATAGGTGCCGAGGGACAGCTCTGGCCTGTCATAACAGTCCACTCTCTTACCGGTGTGATCCAGATGCTGGAAGTATTGTGGAGGCACTGAGGAAGAAGACTGTTTGAGTCTAAATGGGGATATGGGCATGCTGAGGTTTTAGAGAGAGATAGCTCTAGATGCTGCATTACCCTCTGTGACGCAGCTGCAGAATCCACACTGGAAGCGGCGACCTCCCTCTATGAACTGCATGTAGGGACACATGTAGGCCTTGCACCTGTTGCAACGGATTGGACCAGCCTCGCCGTGGTCCACCATGTATGGCGGGGTCTAAGAAGACAGTCAGGGAAAATCCAGCAGGATTCATTAACTCAAAAAGAGAAAAACTGAATTTAATCATTGTCAAACATTTGTGAAATTACAAAATAAAAAACAAATACGAAAAACCAGTCCAGATAGATATTAGTTAGATATGAAACGAGGCAGAAAATACTCTGACAGATATTTCAACCTCTGCAGCTGCCAAACGGATTATCCCTACAGAGAAAAACTAATCCTTTACCAAATCCAGCTGTCTGCACACAGGCAGAAGAGGTAATAGAGCCAGATTTTAAAGGGAAAGGCACAGATGATAGAGAACAGCTATAAGATGTCGAGGTCTGGAGGTAATGAGGAAGCAAGGCAGCTAGGGAATCACAAAACAGTGGCTTTGCTTTCAGCAGCTTTAGCATCCTGTTCTGCTAATATTTACTGTGATTGCTGCCTCAAAGGCGACACTTTGACTTCACGTTTATTCATAGTTTCTGTGAATTATGCATGACCAATCTAGGGCTGCAACAACGAATCGATAAAAATCGACCTTTAAAAGCATTGACAACGAATTTTATCATCCATTAGTTGTGTTGCGTGATTAATGCGTCATCCGCCGTCATCACATCCACTTGACTGAAACGGGGGAAGAAAAAAAAAAATACGGCAGAGCGAGCCAGCGCTGCAGGTGCAGTGTTGCCAACTCAGCGACTTTTCAGACCCCTCCAGCGACTATTTTTCAAAAAAGCGACTAGCGACAAATCTGGCGACTTTTTACGGTGTCACTGGAGACTCTTACGTGAAAGCATGCATCGTTCCTACTCTGCCGTGGGGCGCCTCCCCCATCCCAACCCCGTTCTCCAGCAGGAGTCCCTCTCAGCGCTGCAGTCAGAGCCGCAGGATGTTTACCCTCAGCGTCCAGACTGCTAATGAAACGCGCATGCGACGGGATTGACGGCGCAAATTGATCACTATAATTAAAACAGCCTGTGCTTTGTAAAGTGAAAAAAGTCGTAACATGCAACTTTTGTCGAAACAAATTAACATGGCACGGAAGCACCTTGTTTGTTTGGTTTTAAAGTGGGGAAACGTAACGTTAGTTTCTCAGGTAGCTCATCTGATGCTTTCCTTACCGCGTTAGTAGGTTACAGACAGTGATAAGGTTGGCTACTTATTTTATTTTTAATTTCATTTGAATTAGCTTAAACAGCGTTTACATTTACTTTATAAATAAATTAACTTGCAAATTATGAGGGCAAGGCTTTTAAAGTTTAAATCTTCTGGCAAAGATAAAGTAAAGATCCTGCAATTTATGGAAGTAAAGCAGAATAAAATCCAGCAAGATCAGTAATATGTCAATTAATTATCTGCCACATTCACATGTAAATATCTGTCTTTGGAGGATGTGTTTTTTAGCACCCCTAGTTCTCTCATTTTTATTCCAAATATAATTTATAATTTGAATCACAGGGCTATTTTTATCTCTATGGTTCAGTATTTTCTCAAGCAGCAACTTTAACTCTATACTTTCCTGTCTTAAAAGGCAGAATTCTTCTAGTCTAAAAAAACTCATTTGATGAAATGGGGGGGGGGGGGGGGGGGCTATTGTTTGAACCCCGTAGGGGCTTTTAAAAACAAAAATGTCTTTTTTTGCACTTTATGAAACAAAGTACCCTATATTTTGTGGATCTACAGCCACATTTCTCATGTAAGTTTGCGTAGTTTTATCACAAACATTTATTTTTCATATTGAACCAGTACAGTTAATGAGCAACCTGTACTTGTGTGCTTGCTTGTTCTGTCTAAAATGTTTATTTTGGAATAAAGAGGTTAATATAAAAAATATTTTTTGTCCGATTCATCGATTAATCGAAAAAATAATCGGCCGATTCATCGATTTTTAAAATAATCGTTAGTTGCAGCCCTAGACCAATCTATCAAAATGAAAATGTATTCCTGTATTGGTGTCAGCAAGTAAAGAGAAGTAAGAAGAAAGTAAGGAGTCAAATCATCAATGAGTCAACAAAGGGAAAAAAGAGAAGTTACAAGCCAGCGTAAGCCTAGGACGTTAGCTAATAAGCCTATGAACAAAGTTTCTCTGCAAAAAAATGCTCTTTTTTAAGACACTTAATATGCTTTTTTAAAGATTTTGTTGAAAATAAACTTTAAAGTGCATATTATCATGATTTATAATGTAAAAATGAACCTGAAAAATCCTAAAAAAAAAAAGCTACCAAAGTAATCAATGTGAACCACCATCACAGGTGGTTGAGGTGGACCGTTTTTAGTTCAGGTCACATTCTCAAAGCTCTGATTAAGTGACGCCTGATGGTAACTGCTAAGGACAGGAAGAGTCGCTACATGCATTTATACTTGAAAACTGGGCTGAGATGAGAAAAACCCACAGAATCATGGACCACTTGAAAAAACAGGTTTAATTAAGTTGTTTCATTTTAGCGTTTCAGTTTTGTCATGACCTTGAAAGCTTGTTTGTGCAGAGTTCATTCCAGGACCTAACTGCAAAGCTCTGTCCGAACGTCCAGCCTAACCTTTAGATCCCTCAATCACTAAATGGAGCGGGGACTATATAGTGGACTTTATAGTTAACTGACCATTGGAAAAGATGATCACTACTGTTCGCTCCAGTTGGGCACGTGACTCCGCCTCCCCGCATGGTGCTGCGCCATCTTTGTCATTTGTCGCCCAACTTCGGGTCGCTGTGACATCAAATCCGATAATGCTTTGCAAAGAGAGCTGTCATCGAAAAGCAATCTGGGATATATGTGCTTGTCTAGCGACCATGGATGGTCCCCACTTTTCAGGGTGCATTGTGAGAAATTTCAAGTTCACCACTTTTTCGTACACTAGACGTTCAGACACTCATCTAAAATGGCGTGATTACTACATAGGAATTAGGGCGGACATTCGGACACAGCCTGAGTCCATGTGGGAAAAAATGCTTCAATTCTCTTTTCCACTCTTTGTGACGACAAACCTTCTTTGAGCTTTTTACCACCACCTAAAGGTCTGGAGTCTTAAATGTAATGTCCTGCACTTGTTAACTGTAATGTGACCCAAACTGAATACTAGTGTGATTTGCAAATTGTGTTTTGTTAAACTGAGATTCTTCGAAAATGCCAATTATTGCCCAGTCTTAATATATTTCTGTATGTATGCAAATATTTTTTATATTTGGTCTAAATGTTTAACTTTAACACACCGCTGGCACAAATTTTCAGGTATTTTTTGTGAATAAATATCGATTCCTACTGGGAGTTTTAAGTTTAAGTTTCCCAATAAATCTAGCAGTTTATCTGATAACCTGTTTAAACTAGAGACATTAAATTCAGTACACTTTTTGAGGTTGAAGAAAGTATTTTAAGGGTAAAGTAACTGTAATACCTGTAAATGTGAAGTTTAAAAACTGGGAAAAAGTTTATGTTTTTTTCCTCACTTTCCTCATACTACTTTCGTCATCAGGCTTTAAATTTGTTGAGAGATTTTTTTTGTTTGTTTTTCTTGTAAGTTGTAACAAAATGTCACGCTGCTTTTCCACTTTATTTTAGAATTTTGACTTGATCTAGATCTTACATTTGGAACTTCGACCATCAGGATTTTGACTAGACTAGACTAGAAGCATGTCTCACCTCATCTGGGGGCAGCGTGGCGAGCGGCTTAATGACAGCAGCCAGGGGGACCTGGGACTGCTTTGCCATATCGGACGTGCAAGGCATATTGTAGGCTGTACAACGGATAAACCTGGGACTGGCGTTTCCTGCAACAGAAAGACAAAAAAATAATAATCTGATTTCACCATAAACTAAGCACCGGTATTATTCATTATACGTAAAACACTCTGCTGTAAGGACAGGCAGTAATTAGAGCTCTTATACTCTTTCTGGAGGCTTACCTTGATCTTTCACCTGAAAGTTGGTTGTGACGAGGGGCGGGGCTTGACCCCTGACCCCTGTTGTGAATGGCTCAGTGGACTTGGCCTTGTCGTCCTCTATTACCTGGATCTAAAATGAGAAGAGAGCATGAGATGATTTTTATTTTATGTTTTGTTGGTACAAAGAAAGGTGATATTGTTTTCCCAGCACCTCCTCAAATCTGACACAAAATGTTCCAGACCCATGCAGGAAAAGACTCTCACATGCACAATGAAATAAAAAACCTCAACAGATCACAGGAGGGAGGAAAGTGATCTGTGCACAAGCTGCTTTCAGAACAAAGACAAGATGAGGAAGTTTAAAGAAATCCTTGTTTAGTCAAAGAGATTATCTCTAAAAATGCAACAAGCTGGAGGAAGAAGATATCATGCAGGGCAGGAAAAAGGAATTCACTTAAGATGGTATTTAAAATTCTCACAACACAAAAGGAAAACAAAACCTCTCGTTCTAAAATTTACTTATTTTTTAAACTAAATCCAAAGTCTACAAAAATCTTAAAGAGTTTGATATTTTGGAGTAAATTATTCTGCAGAAAGAAAAAAAAAAGAAAAAAATAATAAAATGGACAGCTATCAAATGAAAAGGACATTAGAAAATGACAAAACATCAGTCCAAACATATCGTTTAAAGTAAGTTTTTTTTTAAATAGATCAGAAATAATTCAGACTTTTAATGCCTGAACTACAATGATTTAATGTTAGAGTTTTCAAAATAAAACTGTCACAAAACAAAGGTTAGGGAATAACCAAATCCCTTTTATCTGGTTTTGAATATAAGCAAACAATGGATCATAGTTGGGGCTTTAAAGGCCTGAAGTTTAAAATAAAAATTACTTAATATATTTAAAGGCTGAAATATTAAGGATTTTGTTAAATTCTCAAATTAAGATTGCATTATTTCATGGCTAACATCAAAGTAAATAACATATGTAGGAAATTTTCATGCCAAAATTTGAACTGATTCAATTTAGACCCTTTTTCTAAGATTCAATTTCAGAAATATCATGAAAATGGTCATATTTAGATGTTTAGATTCCTAAAAAAAAAAAAAAAAAAAAAAATTGAATGGTCTGCAAACATCAGATATAATATGAAAGCTAATGACTCCTTTCATCAACTTTGATCTTTAATTGCAACTCAATCAGGACAGCAATGCAAAAGGAAGGCATCATGGCTATCGCTAACTTCGATGAGGGTCTGGAGGACAAATGGGAAACGGGAAGGGGAAGCTGCAATCAGACAGGGGCACACGAGGAAGAGGAGAAGGCAGGCACACAAGAAACTTACTGGGCTTGGGATAGCATCTGGATCTATTCTATGTCTTGATTTCTGCACAGCCGGCATGTCAGACGCTTGCTTTACAATCAAATGTTTGTCCGGCAAATTGTGCAAAACAGAACAAAATAAATAGTGAAAAGATAAAAAAAAATAGTGTAAGAAGAGAAGCCACAGCAAGACCTTTTTTAGTGCAGGCAGAACTGTTAACACAGAAACGCTCAGCAGTATTTGTTAAAGTTAGTTTTATTGCAGATACATGCTAAGCATCACCACATGTCATAAAAGCTCTAATGTGAAAAGGTAGCCATATAGGCTGGTAGGGTTTTTATAATCATCTTAGAATATCAACCTTTACTCAGGTTTTAAACTTAAAATCTAGTTTAACTGCAAAACAGAATAGTTCTTCTCACATAATGTGATGCCTCCTCTGATTCCTTCCAATAATGACAAGAAACTTGATTCAATTATTCAATACAATGAACAGCTAATTAGAGCTTTGTCATTTGTCAGGTTGCTACAGCATTACACGTCTTTCTTTATATAGTTAGCCTTTGGTAAAGGAGGATATTAAACCTGCCCGGCTGAAAAAAAAGCTCTACCAAAATATCTGGAAAGACATGGAAGAATAGTAAGAAGGAAAAACAAGCAGAAAAAGTTGCACCATTGATTAAATCTGATCGTTTCATTTACTGCAGTTTAAAACCACAGAGCTTTAAAAGCGTTTTGACAAAAGAAGCACAACGAAAGACATTAGGTCTAATCATTCCTTGTTTTCAGTTTTGCTTTTCTGCTTGTATGATAGGGGAAAAAAACACTTATCACACCATGGAGTTTGACGCAGCTTATGCAATATTTATAACTTGAATAAAGGGTTCAGTATAATTAGTTTTAAAAAGAAGGAAAAATGAAAAATGAAGATTGAAATTGAACATGTCTTGTGTATTCTCACCGGGCTTGGAATTGCATCCGGATCAAGTCTTTTCTGTGCTGAAGGAGCAGGAGCTGGCGCTTGGGCTCCATAGTTGGGCTGTCCAGGATAAGGGCCTGCATATCCAGGCTGCGGGCCCCTCACCTGCCCAAATGCACCTAATGAAGGGAGATTAAGCAGTTTAGTGTTTAGGTAAAGCAAAGCATTTTTATTTAGGTAAACTGCATTATCCTCACCATTTTGTTGAGGAGGGAATCCTGTCTGCATGCCAGGCTGAGCAGGAGGCTGCTGCAGGGGTCCTGGAGGACCCGGAGGCATGTGGTTACTCTGTCCCATAGAAGTTGGAGGCATCTGAACTCTGGGGGGCGGGGGTCCTGAGTGATAGGGGGATGGCTGGGTTGGAGGAGGCGGCTGCTGGGCCATGGAGGCTGTGTACTGACCTGAGGCGGCTGAGGTGGGAGGGGGCCCAGGAGGAGGAAAAGACCCTGGCTGAGAGGAAGGTTGTGTAGGCTGAGGTGGGAAAGATCCTTGGATGGGTGGAGGTGGGCCACCGGCGAAGCCAGGTTGGCTAACAGGTGGAGGAGCTGAGAAAGGAGGCTGAGAAGGAAAGGGCATCTGGGGCTGGGACTGAGACATCGGCGGACCCTGAAGGCGCGTGGGAGGAGGAGCGGGACCCGAAAAAGAGGAGGGGGGGAAAGACTGCTGGGAGGGCGGCGGAGGAACAGAAGAGGTGAACTGCTGCTGGGAGGTGGGGGGGAGGGAAGAGTTGAATGGTTGTTGAGAAGAAGGTGGAGGGCCTCCGTAATACTGCTGAGAAGCTGCAGGACCACTCGCAGGTGGAGGCTGGGGGGGAGCGGATGATGCAGGAGGGGGAGCCTGGGTGTAGGATGGCTGCGGTGCAGCTGAGTAGGCAGTACTGAGAGGAGGCTGTGAGCTGTGAGGAGGAACTGATGGGAAGAGAGACACACAGGTTAGCAGAAATGCATCATGGGATATTCTACTGTCCCTCCAGGTGGTTAAAACTTGACTAAAAACTTGGGTCTAAATTTAACAGCAAACAGCAGCAGTTCTCGTGAATCACACTTTATGCAGATTTAACTAATCATTTAGTTTCTGCCTTTCTTTCCCGATCAGCTGCTCCATCTCTTCCCCAAATCTGACCAATCAGTCAAACCTTTGCTCTTCATTTTAACCTGCTGCCTGCCAAGTGAAAAAAAAAATCAAAACTTGACCTGTCAGACAAAATAGCTTCTTTCTTTAGCGCGGACAGCATTCCTGAACGGCCACAGCCATGAAAACCAAGAGGATGCTATAAGCTATTAGAAAGGGGTTTTAATCAATCTGTGATAATTCTCTTGATGAATTTTAGACTTAAAGAGGCATTTTATTTGTCATCATAAAAGATCTGTTTTTTTTATAAGTAGCTTGTTGTGGAAAAGAAGGGTTACCACCTTTGTTCTTTCAATATTGAAACGCAAGAGGCACAATCACGAACTAGCTGTGGGTCTAGATACGGACGAGGCGCTGAGGAAGTGGGAGCAAGTTTGTGTGATAACAGAGGGCGAAAAAGAGCGGGGATCCAGGTGCAAAAAGGGTCCCAGAGTTCTTGCGCACCTCACTCTTCTAGCTGGTCTTCATGAGTCGTTTCCAACAACGGCGGTCATACAAACAAAACAAGCCAGTAAGGTACCAAACAGGAAATACGCATAGTGTAGAGCGGATGTAGATGTGACCAATCAGAGGCCTCCTGTCGCCGGTCACCTATAAATTTGGAGATGCGCAGCAGAGTGTCTGCTGCAGGGGTGGAGGCACATTTGCATTTACTGCGACACACGCAGACGCCCTGGTTTCTGAGCATAAACCAGCCTTTAGTCAACAGATACTAAACGTAAACAAGGCGTTCCATTCTCAAATACCAGCTTTGGTTATTTATTTTTCTTCTTTTAATATACACAGAAGAACAAAAATACCATATTTTAACTAGTAGTGTAACAATACAAAGGACAAGAACTTAAGCACTTTGAGATGGATTTGTTTCTAAACAATTAAATAGTTAATTGTTTAGATGTTCAATAGCATTTATAGACAGTGTTTGTAATTGTGCCCTTGAATGCAGAATACGAAATTCTGGATTTGCAAAAAATTTGATACCGTTTTTATTGCTTTGACTTAATTTATGGAAACCCTAGAGGTCAACAGTGTCCACATCCTGTGGCTTCTTCTGGGAATTTTACAATAAATTAGGGATGCACGATATTGGGATTTTGGCCGATATCCGATATGCCGATATTTTAAAACTCATGTAGCCGATAACCGATACCGATGTTAAAGCTGGACAAAAATAAGTAGTCATTGAAAATAGCAGTTTTGTTATCCATTTCTAACACTTTGAAAAATAATATACTCAAATATATTTTCATATGCTGATATCAAATTGATTTTTAAAAACACGGTATCGATCTATTTTACTTTCAAAATCTCGTGAAATTTCATCTTTCTGTTACAAACTCTCGTGATATTTTGCAAATTCTTGTGAGATTTTGTTAGTAAAATAGATCGATACCGCGTCAATATATCAACATATAAAAATATGGCAAAATTTTGTGAATTTTCGGGGGATTTCGTAGCATAACGATGACATATAGCAATATTTCATTAGTAAAAGAGATTGATATGGTGTTTTTAAATGGCAATATATCAGCATATGACGATATTGTGATATTTTAATGTATCAATATTTTTTCCCTCGTCTTTAGAAGTTTTTAAGTCTGTAAAAAAGAAGTTTTTGAGGAAGAAGAAGAAGTAGTATTTTTTATTTTTTTAGACTTTAGAAACTCAGAAGCTGATCAAATATCGGGTTAAATATCGGTGGGGTGGCCGATGTCCGATATTCAGTTTTAAGGCCGATACAGGCCGATACCGATAGGGGGCCGATTATATCGTGCATCCCTACAATAAATGCTTGCTGTTATTTTTTTTGTGCTACAGCAGAAACAAACAAAAAGCTAAATGTGCATATTTTGGAAGAGGTTGTGCCATAAACAGCAGCCATAAAAGTAAATTTTATGGCTGCTGTTTACGGCAAAGAAGAAAAGCCTGAAATCCTGGAGGGACTAGTAGTAGTACTCAATCTCTTTTCACACCACAGAAACATTTTACACCCAAATGAAATCTGTTATATGTACCATATCCTGGCCCTGCAGAGGTTGGTGGTCCAGGCGTGATCTGCATTCCAGTCATCTGATTGGTGACCTGCTGCATTGATGGCGGAGGCCCATAGTGTTGTGGATAGGAAGGCAGCGACCCACTCATGTTCACATGTCCCTGGGTGTACGGCTGGGCTGCAGCAGGCCTGTCAATGCATAGAAGCTATGAGTGGAAAGCTGATGGCAGCATTAGTGATGCAGGATCAAATCAACTTGCTGCCAGAAGCTGCATTTCCCACAGGAGAATATAGTTATTATTGGCACAATATGAAGACAAACACATTTTCAGAAAGGATTGTTCATCAACACCCCTTCAGGGCAAAAAGTCATGTAGGTAGGGTTAGAGTTGGCCCCCGGGAATCCACTGGAACCAGCTCTTACCTTTCAATTCTCCCAGAATAGCTCAAATTCTGGATTTTTGATAACTAATTTTGATGCCCGGAAGAAAAAGCTGCAGAATACCAACAAAGAAACATTGGCAAGAGTGTGTCTGCAGCCATCTATTTGTGCAGCAACATTTGAAAGTGTAGCGTAACGTTATTTAAAGACACAAGCAGTCGTCCGTGTGCAGCACTTATTTTATAGGGACAGGTGAACAGCCCTGTGATTGAACATTTCTTTGCCCCACTGCTAATCTAAGGTAGGTTTCCTTAAGAAAACTGTTCCACCCTGGATTCATATCACACCTTCCACAGGCAGAACAGAGCCCCTTTTTTCTATCTCTTAAATTACTTTTTAACAGGTATCCACCTCATTGTCTACATTTTCTTGATAGAATGAAAATAACTTTAATCTGGAGCTGCCATTAAGAGTAATTTAAAGGACAACTTAATTCATGTTTCATTTGAAAGCAGGAGACTGAACGACAAAGTAAAACATCCCTAATTCCGTGTCTCGCTTAATGCAAATGAGGTGCAGTGAATGATGAGGATATAAAATCAATGGGGATATCTTCCTTCGCACAACTGCTGTGATGCTTTTTCCTAAAGCTCAGACACTGTGTAGCACCGCTCCACAGTCAATATCAAGTAAACAAAAGATTAAAACTGCCCTATATCACATAAGTACCTGCAGCCTTAGACACTCTAAATGTCAAAATGTGTTAAAAAGAAACAAACTCCATGTAAAAGTGTAACATTGTGAGAAAAAAAAAATCACAAACTTTATATCAGATTTCCTATACTGGATATTAAATATACTGCTTTAAAATAAGTCAACATTTTATGGCGTCACATTTACTTCAAAACACTGGCAAACAAAATAAACATACTCGCATGTATGCTAAACTACTTCTGAGCATGGTTTATCATCACCGCATAAAAAAAAAGCACACATGCGTGAGAAACTGATGCTTCGAGGAGAAGAAAAATCACTCTCCGCACACCAGCTCCTCCCAGACACGCTGGGGATTTCACCATGCGCACGATTTTCTATCCAGCGGCCCCGCTCAAGGACGGGTGTGCTCTCGAAAGCATCTCTACACACAGACGGATTTTCTCCTCACGCGAACAAAAATGTGTTTTAACAGGTTGGGCGGAGACAAGCCTCTTCTCTAAGCCTAAGTACTTCCATGAAGCCTTTGAATTACAGCTCGTCATCCATAAGTGAAGACGACGATGGCGCCGCAGATGGCAGCCACGGTGTGTTGGTGCGCACTTTTTAGTTTCTTTTTACTACTTAACTCTGGTTTTTGCGATGCTACCCGGAGCTCTTTCACCAGAGAAGAGCTCATGAACATCAGGGCAACGTCACCAGAGGACTTATTCCCCACTTTTCTTCTCCCTACGCTGGAAATTTTGGACATTCTGGTCAAAGGTGCGCTCACCTTTGCTCATGCAGCGAAATGCCGGAGGAGAGGAAAACGCGCTGGGGCGCTCGTGCGGCACCGCAAGCGCGGTCTCTGCTCAGCGCTACCGGGCATGATCCTGTCCAACGTGCGTTCCCTGCCCAACAAACTGCACGAACTTCAACTGATGCTGGGATATAACAGGGACTTCTCCTCATCTGCTGTTTTATGCTTTACGGAAACATGGCTGTGTGGATTGATCCCAGACTCTGCGCTGCAGCTGGCAGGCTTCCAACTCCACAGAGCGGACAGAGACGCACAGCTCTCCGGCAAAGCGAAAGGTGGAGGGATCTGTTTTTACATCAACAGCGGCTGGTGCAACGATGTGACAGTGATCAAGCAGAACTGTTCAACAGACCTGGAATATTTCATCATAAACTGTAAGCCTTTTTATTCACCCCGCGAGTTCGCTTCATTCATTCTGGTCGGTGTCTACATCGCGCCGCATGCAAACGTGCAGGACGCACAGCGCACGCTCGCTGATCAGATACTGAGTGTGGAGCGGAGCAACCCGGACTCCTTAGTTATTGTCCTTGGTGACTTTAATAAAGGTAACCTCAGTCATGATCTTCCTAAATACAGACAGTTTATTAAATGCCCGACCAGAGAGGATAACATTCTGGATCACTGTTACACCACCATCAGGGATGCTTATCACGCTGTCCCCCGTGCTGCACTGGGCCAATCCGACCACGTCATGGTCCACCTGATTCCTGCTTACAGACAGAAACGAAAGTTACTACCGTAACTACGGTTCTATGAATCCCGGATGACCGCCAGAGGCGGTGCTTCAAGCACTGAATGATCATTCTTGCGCATGCGCAGGTCGAGTATTAATGACAACAAAGTCAGCTGTGACCTGCCGGGGACCCACGTGACTCTATATAGTCACGTGGCACCCGGCAATCAATCCCTCAATCTTCTCGCGAAAGCAGAGATTCCGAGGGACCAAGCACTCTGGCGGTCATCCGGGATACATAGAACCGTAGTTACGGTAGTAACTTTCGTTCTATTTCATCCCTACTGACCGCCAGAGGCGGTGCTTCAAGCACTGGATGACTCATATCAACAAGGTCACGAGGAATCAGCAACATTCAAGGAACAACGACTACACCACCCACCTAATGTGATGTAGAGGCATGCTGCTCGAGGATTCCCTGAAGCGGATGGGGCGCAGCCACATTCACCCTGTAGAACCGAGTAAAGGTACTAGGTGACTTCCAGGAGGCCGCACGACATATAACATCCAATGGCACCCCAGTCATAGCAGCAAACGATGTCGACATGCCCCTTGTAGAGTGGCATTTCACTCCCGCCGGCAGTGGCCGGTCCTGCAAGGCATAAGCCTTGGAGATCAAATCCACAACCCAGTGTGCAAGTCGCTGCTTAGAAAGTGCCTGACCTTTCCGTGAGCCAGCGTAGCAAACAAAAAGGCTATTTGTCTTTCGGAAGGATGCCGTGGCATTGATGTATGTCTCAAGGGCACGGACAGGACACAGTGGTTCAGAGGGACTTCCGGAGTCAAACCGGGCAAGATGGAGAGGCTGGGTGCTGCCTGCTGGCAGTGATACCTTAGGAATAAATGCTACATCAGCCCACAGTGTAACGCCTGAGCCATCAGGATTCCACCGGCAGCAGGGTTCGGCTATCGAGAGAGCCTGTAACTCCCCTACACGTTTTGCGGAAACCATAGCTAAAAGGAACGCAGTCTTCAGTGAGAGCCATTTGAGGTCCGCCGACGCCAGGGGCTCAAATGGGAGGGACCGAAGAGCCTCAAGCACAAGAGAAAGGTCCCACGCCGGTGCCACAGGGCGGTTGGGTGGGTGCAAACGCCGAGCACCTCTTAAAAACAGTACAACATCCTTGTCTCGGCCCACAGAACAACCATTCAGCCCAACATGCCAACAGGAAATGGCAGCCACATACACCTTTAAGGTAGATGGGGACCGTCCTTGATCCAGCAATGCCTGCAGGAAGGTCAGTATGTCAGAAACTGAGCACTGCACCGGGTCCTGCCCTCTATCACGGCACCAGGTCGCAAAGACCGTCCACTTGTTAGCATAGACAGCTCGCGTGGACGGCGCCCATGCATTAGCCATTGTATGCCCTATGGACCCAGTGTATCTTGAGAAGGTGGACCCCGGCCTTGCAGGGGCCAAATCCAGAGCTGGAGCCGGTCCGGTTCGGGGTGCAAGATCTGACCCCCCATCTGGGAAAGAAGGTCTCTCCTGGAGGGGAGACGCATTGGCGAGCCGGAGCTGAGCTCGCACAGTAGAGGAAACCAAGTCCTCGCTGGCCAGTAGGGGGCCACCAGCAGGACCCTGTGCCCCTCCTGACGTACCCTTGAGGAGAGTCTGAAAAAGTAGGCTGAATGGCGGAAAGGCATAAAGGAGGGTCCTGGGCCAGTCGTGTGCCAGAGCATCGTGGCCCAGAGGGCTGCTGTTGTCCAACGAGAACCAAAGGGGACAGTGAAATGCGTCCCTTGAGGCAAAGAGGTCCACGTCCGCCCTGCCAAAGACCTTCCAGATGCACTCCACCACCTCTTGGTGAAGCTTCCACTCCCCTGGAAGCGGCTTCTGACGGGATAGAAAATCTGCTGGCACGTTCTCCGGCCCTGGGATGTAGGCTGCTCTGAGGCTGGCTATGCGTGGAGCTGCCCAGGTCAGAAGCCGTTGAGTCAAGCACAACAGTTTCCTTGACCTCGTGCCCCCCTGGTGGTTGATGTGAAAGACCACTGTGGTGTTGTCTGACCTCACCAGCACGTGCTTCCCCCGCAAGCCTGGAAGAAAGCTCTGAAGAGCCAGAAGCACAGCCTGTAACTCCAGGACATTGATGTGTTCCCTGCCCTGCCGCTGGGACCATGTCCCCTGTGCCATTTGACCCCGCCAGGTTGGACCCCAGCCCGTGGAGGATGCATCTGTAAACACAACTTCCCGACGACACGGGAGGGAACCGAGCGGGACCCCTGTGGTCATAAACAACCTCACCCTCCATTGGGACAGAGACTGAAGACACTGAGGCCCCACCCGAAGTCTTCGGAGACGATGAGTGTTCCGTGTGGGATCCAGATTCAAGCTGTTCAACCACATCTGGAGGGGCCGCAATGACAGCAGCCCCAAGGGCACTACGGCGGACGCAGCTGTAAGCATGCCCAAGAGTCGAAGATACCGCACAAGAGGCAGCGCCATGCCGCGCCTGAATTCCGGGAGCACGCTCAATATGCTGTCCACCCGCTGGGGTGACGGGCAAGCAGTCATTGAGATGGAATCCATGGCAATGCCCAGGAAGACAGTCTCCTGT